CTTCATCGGCAAATAAAGAAGACCAGTCAACGCGTCTGCACAAAATGTTTATTCATACCACTACAAAGATGGAAAAGGAGTGGGATTGTACTGGAGGAAAGTTGCCCATTTCACAAGAAATATTAAATATCAAACCTGAAAAAAATTTAGAAGCTAGCAGCTTCGGGAATATCATTCCAGTGTTTCGGTTCAATAATATTATACATGACTCAAGTGTTCGGGCTAGTAGTCTACATGGAATAATCAAAGAAGCTCATCTTTGTGACCAGATCAGTATTAAGTTTGGATCATGCTGGCAATACTCGGAGATTAGAAGTCTATCTATAGCCTTCACTACTAATTGCTGATCTAAAAGCAATCGGCAGTCATAAAACATTCAACTATATGAACATCGGTACTGAAGGTAGTCAAATGGACAGTATCTTAAATTTATCAAGAAATTTTAAGGTCATCCCGAATGTTAATACTAATAACAGTGATGGATAGCATAGGCACTTGTCAACTGTTTTGCCCCGTATTATCTTTTTGCCCGACCATGTTCCACATACGAGCTCCAGTCAACTGACCTTCGATACAATCGGGGAAGAACCTGTGGTTTCAGCATATCGACTACGTCAACAGTCACTTTTTCTTATAACACTGTCTGTTAGTTCCTTTTAATATTCTGCATAATACAGAAACATATTACTCGAACCTATGGTCTAGAAATACTGCTGCATGCAGCTTTTAGAATTGCAGTTTTCTAAGTAGATGTGGCTGAATTTTCACAGTTCATTGAGAGAAGTACTTGCTTTATTAACCGTAGTATCATGATGTCCCCGAAGTTAAAAATCATGGTAATAAGTGGTTGGCTACCAACATTAGGCACAAATAGAAGTATTAGTCAATGGGCACTCCTCTTTAAATGCACTCGGTTTAAAATACGTTCAGACTGAACCTGTTAATTTTAGTTCAGAAGCTATAGTAAAGGATTATCCTGGATCCTTCATTTTTACTAGTGTTTCTTAACAATCAATAAAATCTTAGTTTTGAGGATTCGCAGACTGTACGGTCAGTTACATAACAATGAAAATAATTGAATGACTTAGACCAATATGTGTGTCAGCCCGGTCATACTATGTACCATCGTTCTTTCTATTCCCAGCCAAGTATTGTCATATTTCATTTGTAAGGGTTTGAAGCGAATACAACAGTGGACTTTGTGCTGTCGTATAGTATCGACGGGGTTCCAATCGAAACTGGTAAATATATACAGACAGCAGTTACAGTCCAATCCTAAAACACAAATTAATATGATTAGTCAAAAAACGTAAGATGGCGCAATCAACTACGAAGGATAAGACCAGGACACTCCTATCGAGCATTATCGAGTATAAGAGAGGAAACCCCCAAAGTGTTTGATTGGATAATATTGTTTTCGATACAATCTTTCACCCTGCTTTGCATTTCAACTTCTGTCCGGTACTTTTACATTTAATCTCCTCCTGCTTAGCCGTCAATATTTGACTTCAGTAAAAATTCACCTTCATTATTTTATTTTGTTGTTGTATGACGTCCGGCCATTGGTTATAAGATCGTCTTAGACCGAACTCAATGTTACTGAATAATTTGGTTGATCATCGTCGTTCTTTGATTACCTGCAAGTAACGATTATCCGAATCCACGCAGATAGGTGTTGATACCATTTTGCCAGGAACAAGAATGCTGATCCCCAGGTACCAAGTATACACTTATTACCTATTCCTTTTTCTGTTCAGCAGACTATTTTGTTCTAGGAAAACGTTTGACTGTATAGCACGGGCTGTACCGTTTGAGGTATTCTGTACTTTTGATAAAAAATTGTTTGCCTTGTTAAACTAGAACCAATTAAATTAAGGACAACGTTTGTGATTTGATAACTCTAAACACTCGAGTCTTAAAAGGACCTTTTAAGTTATGTAGTAGAGTGTGAACCGGTGTAATCTAATATACTTTGACCTGTTGGTCCTTTGCACTCAAGCTAAATGTCGGGATTCGGTTGCTACGGGAGGGATACAAGAAAAATGAACGGGCGAAATGGTTGGTCATTTTTCACACAAAATGATGCGATTCCGTGATCTATAGTCAAATACGAATAATAGTAACCAGACAGCGAGTAAATGAGTCTTAAGTGGTGGATGTTCGAAGCAAGTAATATCGGTTGATTTGCTTCTGCTGATAGAGTTTAACAGGCGCTGGATATGGGTCTTGGTATGAACAGAAATAATGGAGCGCAGAAGCACCAGTTTGTGAGCCACAAATATAGCGAAACACATGTCTTGAATTCTGCTGCTAATTGCTCTCAAGATGTGCTCAAAGACAAAAATGGCCCTATCTATCAAAGCTTTCTTATTCCTTTGGTTCTATAAAAGCCTGGTTTCCAGTTTAGTGTAGGTAGACATTAGGCAGTTTTGCTCCTACACAGCGACGTGCATAATAATTCATCACAAAGTTTCATTTGACTCCGAATCCAATCTAGGGTATAGTGCTCTAGTCCACTTCAACAAGCCATCGAATGGGTAGTGGCCTCATAAAAAGTGGAAAAGGATTCCCTGTCACTGAAGAGGTTAGAGGAAGTAAATTACCTGAACGATGATCAGCTAAGATATTTTATGGAAGCTCAATCGAACTTAGCAGATCTTTTACCAACAGAACAACTAGACGCATATGCCAAGGATTTCAAAGACACCTCTAAAGTTTGTACTACGCATCAGTTTCTTACTGGACGGTTGGATGCGTTGACACTCGAAATGACTTTAAGGTCGTTTAAAACGTGATTTCAGCTACATCTAACTATCCTTTCTACTCATGTCTTCCCCCTTAATACTTTCAGCGAAAACCGAGGCATATGTGTAGTGAAAAAGTTGAACAGCTATGGGATAAAACACAAGTGTACTACCCTATAAAACTATGGAATTACGATCTGCATCACTGTGAGTGACCCAGATCACCCCAACGCCGTAACCTAAACGGTGGTTACCTTGACCATCAAATAGATGATCATAGCAAGATTACCCATCAAAGAACAATCAGTCAAATGAAATTCTACATTTCGCACATTGAATGTGTGTCCCCAAGAACAAATTTCTAGAGGAATAGAGCTGCGGACTGACTTTGATAATATGTTCAGATAGTTCGACAGTTAGCACTTGGAAAAAAACAGTAATTATTACAGACATTAAATGTAATGTATGCACCTGAAATTTCTAGGTCTGTCCAAAATCTACTCCATCAGCTACACATTTGCCAGATAACAAATGGAGAAAAAAGACGGTAAATATGTGTAGGTATCACATTTAAAAAAATGTGCATAATAATGCACAAAAAATACATCAATTTACAGAAACATCACAAGATTTCAACAACAGTTCACTGATGGCCATCAGCTGTGAGAGCGGGTATCGATAAACAATCTATAGGACACTATCGACATCAATTCTGTAATGAAAAGACCTAGACCTGGATGAAATCACCTCAAACTGCTATACAGCAGAGGTCCAATTGTTAGGTATTTTACTGCCATATAGCAGAGCCTGCAGGTACCTTGGAGTAACTGTTAGAGTTTTGTTCTATCTTTTGGATATTTTCTACAACATACCTCATCTGATCAGGCACTGCATGTCTAATCAAGACCAAAATGCTTACGTGGTCCCCTAAGAATTGGTCACTAAATGGGGAACATAAACTTTCAATCTCTCATATACAGAATGACCAAAAGTTTAGATCAGTTTGATAGTAGTATTCCACAACTCGAACTGCAGCGGTGTTAGTGCCAACAACGCAATCCTCAAAGCTGAACATGAGGTAACTGTGAAAATAGATATTCGAAATTTAACACGGAAAGGGGGTCAACAATGGTGAACGTGAGAAAATTCATTCAATCGGACGACATGCCTCAGCCTCGCAGATTCTGTCGTCCCGTATAACCTGTTTTTGTTCACATTAAATGCATTATTCGATCTTCATCCCAAGTGTGTTCTTCAGAAGTACTAAGTATCATATTATTAACGATACGATAAGACGAGTCAGTGTAGATAATGATGGGATTTTCATATAAGGTTCCATTAATTAGGTAGTCACATCATGAAAAATCGACGACTATGGAATTATGTCTATTATTATAATAGTAATAATAACGAAGTAGACCGTAATTCTACAAAAACACAACTTGAACGCGATAATGTCTGGCGTTTATGACTGTTAATCTGTAAAGCCATCAAAAAGCTAAATATCTCAAAAAAAGGAAGGTGACCCATTCCAAATAAATCAAAGTGCTGCGATCTCCTGATTTACGTCCAAAAAACAGCCTGAATTACTCGATCGTGGTACCTGTGTGATTGAATTCTCTGGTAACATCGTCATTATGTACAACAAAGAACTCGGCAAATATACGCACAAGTTTAAGCCACCATGTAACATTCACATGACGAGATGAAGTTATTTGAAGACGATTATCTAGGTAGTGCATGTAATATCGGTGGTGGAAAAAACATGTGCAGGAAAGGAAAAGGGTACAGGGAAATTTTGGCGCTCAGGCTCTAGAGGAATACAATTGGTACACGTATCTCCGTCATTGTGGACGATTTTGAGCCATGTAATACAAAGTCTCTAACCATTGATCACTGTAATTAAGCGAACCCCAACCAGATAATCTGAACCTATTAACGTGACTGAACACAATAAGTAGAATCTTACCAAAGTAACGGATTAGGAAAGTGAGTTATATGGACACTCCCTTACAAACATGTCAACAGCGACCAATAACTGACGACAGTCATCTTTAAGTGATCTGCTGCGTAACTTAAGAAAGGTCTGAGTTAATATGCGATTTCACTAGAGATCAGTAGAATTTTAATGTTCTCACAAAACTCTCCGAAACAGTGATTTAACTAAATCAGGTGGGCATTCCACTTTTTCAACTGAGTGGTTACTGACTACGACTCCGTCCTCAAACAAGTAGTATTAGTGCTATAGGTGAACAATTTCAAGAAGAGAGTGGATCTCTACGAGGAAAACTTCTGTCAACCTCCAAATTACTTTGAAAGTCACAGGAGCCAATGCACATAGTAGCTGGACCATGTGCACCAAACGGTACCAAAAACTTGGAACATTACCGTAGCATTAATAATTGAGCAAAAGGAAGCCAACTCGTCTACACCAGACAGTGGATATTATGGATCAATGAGTTTAATTTCTTAGGTATTGAGGTCTGAAATTTCGATTTAGTGCGCGGCATCAAAGCTAATACGTTACAGTAATATGGTACACATGACAGGCTGGCCGAAAGGTTCGGCCGAAAAGTTCCTTCATTCTACACCTGTTGCTAAAACGATAACGTTGTAAGTTATTCCAAGATCCTGGTGTTTTTTTATTGACTAGAACCTGCATGAAAGTTTCATGTTGCTTCAGGTAATTTCTGTACGTAAACTCAGTCATGAGCTCTGGGTAAACGGTGAAATTTTGATGTAAATAGTTTTCGATAAGGATGAATAGACTTTTATCATCAATTCATTTTTTTGTACTTACCTGCCCGACTCAATTTTCTTCAAGATAGTTTTTCTACCCGATCTTAGCAACTTATAAATAGTTTGAGGATGAGAGTAAAAACGTCCAGCTTATTTCTGAACTTATGCAACGAAATCCTACAACTAACAACGTCCCATTGTAAAATTTGTGTTAACTATATGACACCACAATTGACGTTTAGTTGAGTTCAATACCAAGAATGTGGTATACTGATCTATGAGCTGCGTTTTACATACAATTATTAATGCTTATCAGATTTCCAAACTGTCACAGCCTCTCATCGATTTTGTATTTAAGTATAGATTTTTTCAGAACAAAACCCTCTACAGTATTTCTAGCGTCATTTTAAGTAAGTACCAACCTGATTAGTAGATTTTGTTATTCGGTTCCTTCGCATTTGTGATTTGATACATATCTTTTCTTTATATTTAGATGTCATGAGGTAATGAATATTTTCCCTATATGAGTACGAATAACGGATCTATATACCAAAATAGCTCATGAGAGTTTTAATCGAGTCTGTCAAAAATATCAAACATATAATAACATAGTTATGTCGTTCGTCTTTTCTTATCAATAATTTCCAGATAACATAGTACCTGCCATTATATCCATCGTTTACAACGGGTATATAATTTTAGCTCGTATTTTTGAAGCACTTCGAGAAGAAAAACTACCCACTCGAAGCAATAATAAGTTATTCACGTTCATGATGTACCCAGACTTTCCTCAGATTTTAACTCATTCCGTAATGCTCAGCGTGACAGCTTACAAGGAGGAAAATTTATCCATTTATTTGTACTTTGGAATTTGCTTGCTTTATATCCTTGCACCCTGAGGTTTTCAGTACTAAGGTGTGACTTCTTAACGAATATGCTTGATTAGTACAGGATTTTCCTTTCCTATGGTGAATTTGTTTACAGACATCCTATCGCTTTTTAATATGGCAAGTGTTTTTAGTCGGAGTTATACTCAAAGGCGAAACCACCTAGACAGTTAACTTATTGTTTATAGTAATGTAAGGAATGATTGTTTGTTCGTTTTGAATATTCGATGTCCCATGAATTTTGCATGAAGTCAATTTTTAACCCTTCTTAATGCAATACAACAGTGCATAGCGTACATAAAATTTGTTCTTATCTCCAATTCGTATTCAGATATCCTTTGAAAAGTTATAGTTTTGGCACCAAAGAACCCAATTATGAACGAGATCGGAGTGTTCCTGCTCGATTTCAACGGTTACAGGAGGATTTTGAGAAGTATGGTATGCGTCGATCAGTTGAAGGCATCTTACTTGTACATGAGCACAACCTACCTCATGTCCTCTTACTTCAACTCGGGACGTTTTTCAAACTCCCTGGAGGTGAATTGCATCCAGGTGAAGAAGAAATTGAAGGACTAAAGCGATTGTTATCTGAGGTATGTTGAAAATGTATTACATCAAACCAGTTAAAAATTAACAAAGCGAATGCATATGTCGTGTATACAGTTCGACTATTATTTTTCCTATTTTTGACTCATTCTCGAATCCTGATTAAAATGAATCTATCGAATTAGGCTCCTCAGATTGAACAAAAATTTCCTTGAACTCTTGTTTATTACTTTCCGTTAATCGTTAAACGTCGATCCACGTCGACAATAATTTTTATCTATAACATTTCAAATAAATTATCTTTCAGTTATGCTTAATGTTGTTTGGATATGAGTGGATACGGATTCCTATTTTTGTTTAGAGTGGCGGTTCAGTAGTTAGGGTACCTGAGTTTCTAACCCCGCCCCAGCTTCAGTCTAGGAAACCGGGTAGTATCACTAGCCCTCATATTTAGAGTGTGATTCATACCTAAGTACCTGGTGTTTTATATTCATAAAACGAGCTAGGCTTAATATTCTGTATAACATTGCTTCTGTGCCCCTATGTGATTCTTTTCACTGCTTTTGAAACCGCATTTAACAGTTTGGCAAGACGACTAGGAAAATCAAACGATATGAGTTTATCTTTCTACCAGCATAAGCGCTTTTTATATTTTTTATGAATGAAGTATTATATATATATATATATATTTACCTTTTCCATTTAGATGTTAGGTCGGACGGATGGCATCCCAGTTGACTGGATTCCAGAAGACTGTATCGGTAATTGGTGGCGACCGAATTTCGAACCACCTCGCTATCCATACATTCCTGCTCATGTAACTAAACCTAAAGAACAAACACGCTTATTTCTAATTCAACTTCCTGAGAAAACATTGTTTGCTGTACCATCGAATTATAAATTAGTCGCAGCTCCGTTATTCGAACTTTTTGACAATGCTCGAGCTTATGGTCCAATTATTTCTTCCTTACCTCAAGTATTAAGTCGGTAAGTTATACATGTGAAGTTCCTTTCTATACGACACATCCGTCTCTCAACCAAAGGATGAGTCTACTGCTCAGCAGTTCACTCCGTTCTACAATTGTAAAAACCGTGGCCTTTAAATATAGAGGATCCCGATCGTTACTGCTACCTTGAAGTAATGGTCGGGCTTGCCTATCGTGGTGAACCAATCGAGCTATACTGGCTGGAACAATCGTTCCCCAAAGTTCTAATGTTCCAGGCAGGTCAGTTGAAGAGCGGTAAGACTAAAAGCAGCAAACCCAAGGTCTGAAGGCGAAGTCGTACCGCTGACTGTACGGAGGTGTGACGGCAGTAGGGTGCTCCCTTCAGACGACCGGTATAACAACGATGCTGCCTTCCCAAAAGAAAGGATGGGATTAGAAAGGGTCGACTCTAAGAATACATACCTTACCTTATCCCATGGATAAGTCCCCGGCGGTAAGGTCTCAACAAATACGGAGCTAACACGAAAATTACTCACAAAACGGTCGTGTGTGACCAACCTGAAGCTGTTGTCCCTTGAGCACTGCGTTCACGCTCTCACGTCGCTAAGACCACTACTAATCCCATTTCCCTTTCAGGTACCTTCAGAAGAACCCTTCCACGGTGTAGGCAACCGGGAAGTGATAAACACCCTCATACCTCTAACAGCACTCAAAATCACTGTATTAATAATCTCCCTCTTTAATTCCTATTATTCTTCCTACATCGACTTTCAACATTAAACTTCCTCTTTTGACCTCATCCTCAAGTGTCACTATAGCTAACGATTCTAGTGAGCGAAACATTGTTCCAGGTCTACTGAAACCTCGCTCCAAACTACACATTGGAGCCTTCAACGTACGCACTCTATGTCAAATCGGCTAACGTGCCTCCTTGGCTAAAACTGTAGAATCTCCTTCCATTGATGTATGCTGTGTCTCTGAAACACCCATACAGGATTCTTGTGTGGTCATCCACTTGACCTCACCTCACCAAAATAGAAACCCGACGAGATACACCCTCCGTGTATCTGGAGACCCGATGGCTAATTCTCGTGAACTGGCGAGTTTAGGCATAGCACTAAGTACGAGGGCAGAACAAGCACTATTATAGTGGGTTAGCATACGTAGTACGTGTCATGTTTTGAATATCTTAGTCGATAAAGTTTCACCACCTAGTCAATCGATTTGTTATAATCACTTAGTACTCTGGATGTAACCTCAGAATTGTTAACTCAGTGGTCGCAAAATATACGCGCAATGATTTGTAGACACCAATGATCAAATGCTGGTAGCCTATGAATATCCTCTATATTTGAAGGCCACGTTTCATAACCGTAGAACGAAGCAAACTGCTGTGCAGTACCCTCGTTCTTTAAGTGTCAAATGAATATCTTACCTATCCCAAAAGTGATCCAAGTTGGCGAAAACCAACTGAGCTTTTTGCATTCGTGCAGAGATTTCGTCCAACACCGACATATCAGGACTCCCAAGATAGGTAAAACATTTAACTGCTTTACTTCCTATCCTGAGTCCAGGCGTTGGTGTAAACTAGTCCTGAAGCAACATTTCTCGATTAGAGGGAGAAAAGTACATCCCAAACATGCCCGCATTGTTGCTAAAGCTGTTCAAAAAACTGAATTTTTTTAGAGTCTCTTTCAAACAGAATTATGTCATCTGCGTCTACACAAAGATCTTGTAGAAGATCGATTCCTGACAAGTCAAACGATGAGAATGTTATCTCTAAAAGAATGTCTATGGCAAGATTAAATAAAAATCAGGAAAACAGACAAACCTAACGAATACTACTTAAGGTTATCAGTTCCAATTACAATTCACCTCTGTATGGCTTTTATTGTTGGGTTATTCTTTGACTTTTCAATTCTATTTCAGCTTCAACTTTGCATACAACGATTGAGTTCACATGTAAACGTTTCCAATGAATATCTTTACGACTTCATATTCCATCAACCAATCAAATGATTGATCTCACTATCAATCGAAAACCATTTTTTTTTCATTTTTAATATATACATACTACTCATCCATTGTTACTTTGTTAAAGTCGTAAAAAGATATTGTTCGACGCATTTCTTTTTTGTCTCTCTCTCTTTACGTTCACTTATAAATGTCTTTGTTGTTTGTGTAAATATATTGTCTCGGATACAATTGTACATAATAACAAATAATATATCATCAGTAGTATATATTTCGTCACATTGATTATCAATAATTTTTCTAGATAATTAATTGTCAGGTAACAGTATTTCATTTGTAATCCTAAAATTCCTTTCTAGATGGATTGTGTACAGCAGTATGTGTACTAAATAAGTTGACTTGTACATACAAAATTTTTTTCAATTTTTTCAAGTAGTAACATACATTATGGGTTAGTGCTCACATCTGCTGGGATAACCGGGTAAATAATGGTGAAGTTAGACACAGACAGGGTATTAGGGAATGATGGTAAATCAGTTGATGAGGTCATGAATCTTCATCGACTGAGTTGATTAGGCCACGTGTTACGTATTCATGAACACCGATTACCACGACACGCTATACTGACTAGTGTAGGGGATGGTTAGAAGAGAGTTAGGGGTGGCCAGACCAAAACATGGTATCAGTGCTTAAATTCACTAACTTCTTGTCTGAGCCGTGTTGGCAGATGCAGACTACTTGGTTGGGGTCCGTGTGACTATCGTAACCAATGGTTGGAGACTCTATGTGACATGGCTCAGAATCAATCACAATGGCGCAGGTGTATACACTCTTTATCTTCCCTTAAACTATGACATTAAAATTGCTTCATAACTTTTTTCCTTCCTATACTATATCCTTATATACAACCTATCTTTTATATGTTACCACCACCACCACTAAATTAACTACTCCTATGAATCCGGTGTTGATCTTGTTGTGCTAACGAGGTATGGCAACTTGGACCGATGCATAAATGTGCCTGATCCTACGTTGTAGCTGACTGACTGACTTATGGGTCAGTAAAACGCCACATCAATGTTGAAAATATTACTTTATCAATGAAACGAATCTAGTCGTATGTAGTTTATCTTCACTATATATGCTCACTAGTGAGAATCAATAAGCAGTGGAGTTCAACCAGGTCTGTTGGGAAATAGTAACTCATTGAAAACAATAGTGGACGGTTGCTCAATTTGGTGGATTGGTTGAAGTTAGACATTAACACCGTTGAATGTCGGTCAGCTCGGTAGTGTAGAGGCTGAGCGCTTGCACGCGAGACTAATAGGTTCTAGGTTTAAATCTCGCGAGGCAGGATCATGGATGCACACTTCTGAGGAATCCCACAATAGGGCGAAACGGTCGTGCAATGCTCCCAGATTTTCCATAGTGGTCTAGCTTCTATTGATTCATGATCTCAACTATTAAAATTACAATCAGAAGGGGATTTGTGGAGATTTCAGTATATTTCAAAGTTGAAATCATTACTATAATATCCACAGAACCCCCTTCTGATTACTATATTATAGTTACGAATCAATTTTCTTGTAAGTTGTAGCACTCTGATTTCAGTTATGTGTCTATTAGATGAGATCTGGATTTCGACTTAGTGAAGTTTATACATAAAAATCCGTCACTTCAAAGTAGCAAGTATTTTACTCGTAAACTTCTTAAAATAGTATAACCTCTCAATGTAATTTAGGATTCAATCATTGTTGCATGTTTAAAGTGTTCATTCAGGCTGTTGTCAGTTTCAAACAGTATTTGTTTCGTCTGAAAACCACGATTTCTTGTCTCGTTACACAAAATGAAGTCATCAACTAATCGAGGCGTACTTCGAACTTTGGAAATTGGGAGATTTCTCGAGCATTGATGCGTGGCGAATGTATTCCTTAACCGATTGCAATAGGATAGTTCACTTAGTATCAGGAAATGAAGCTAATTCAGTTGTTTAGATAACAAATTAAATTTGTTTTTTAAATGCAATTATCCAAGACTTTCATACAACGTCATGCTTTCCTAGATTACTTGGAATTTTATCATCTCAGACATATTTCTGAGTGATCTTCCAGGCTGCAGATCGCCCCCATCTGATCAAATATACTAGGTTATCCAATCAAGACTCTTTTTTTAATATAACTCGGTGCAAACGCATTTGACATTAAGTCAAAATTCTGAGTCACCCTGTTCGTTGTTTCTGTCTGTACATATATGTGGACGTCTGAACTTTCAATTAACAACAATTGGTCGTTACTTTTCATTTTCACTGGTGTTGTCAAATACACCCTAAATTTTACCCCGGAGTACTTTGAAAAGATGACTGAGACGTCCTAGTTACGGAACTAAGTTGTTTACAAAGATCTGGCAATTAGAGTGTTCCAATATCGTGAAATGAGTTGATAGTTGTCTCTATTTTTAAAGAACGTTCACGTGGTTTTTGCAACAACTATCGAAAGATAAGTCCACTTCCGATTGCTTCCAAATTATTGGCTTCCGTCATTCTTCGTAGATTATTCAAATCCCGAGGAAGATTGACTTGTGAAGAGCAGGCTGGTTTTCGTTCTAGTCGAGAATGTATTGATCATATCTTCACCCTCCGCCAAATGTTGGAACACCGTCATACTTATCACAGGCCAACAATCGTAGTGTTTCTTGAAATCAGGGCCGCATTCGATTCGTTTGACAGGACTGTTCTCTGGGATTGTCTATTGAAGAAAGGTGTGTCTGAGGAGTTTATTAACATCTTAAAAGCCTTATAAACACTTCAGGCAGAGTAAGGGCATACAAATACCTCTCTTCACTAGTCCATTCAAGCAGTGGGGTTAGACAGGGTTGTACAATCTCACCATTCCTCTTCAACTTTGCCATCTATGACATTCTGGAAACAGCTCTGATGGATATAAGTAATGGTAGTGTGAATCTGTTGCTTAAAGAAGGACTTCTTAACCTTGAGTATGCAAATGATATTGTCTCACTGTGAGGTGATACCCAAGCCACGAGATCCGCACTTAATCAGTTGGCAGTCAGTGTCCGTAGGCATGGTATGTGCTTTGAACCTTCGAAGTGCAAAGTACTTTTACGAGACTGACACTAACCTGAACCTGAAATCACCCTGGGTAGAGAGCGAATAGAAGTAGTGGAGAAGTTCGTGTATCTGGATACCTGCGTAAGTGCTGGTGGTGGCATAAGTGAAAGTCAGAGAAGCTTATTGCCAATATGGGCCATCTTTGGCGCCTTCGTGATGTTAATCTGCTTGTAAAAAGCCGAGTCTACAACGCGTCGGTGAGAGCAGTTTTGATTTATACTTGTACAACCTGGCCTCTCCGAGTTGAGGATGTTAGACGACTCTCTGTGTTTGATCATCGTTGTCTCCGAAGGATTTCTGACATTTAATGTCAACACCATGTTATTAATGCAGAGGTTCAGCAACGTGTGTTTGGGCATAGTGATGATAATCCAATTGGTGTCATTATTTTGAAACATCGACTTCGGTGGTCTGGATATGTCTTACGAATGTCTTCCTAGATAATTCCACGTCATTCAGTATTTGCCGAAGCTGGAATCAGTCGGAGAGGTGGTCAGTGTATGACATGATGTCGTGGTATGGAAGAAAGCTGTAAAGAACTGGCTTCTGTTGGTCGTTCACGACTCCCTGGTTGGTCTCCGAGAGATGGTTTGACACAGTGAATAGAGGCGTTATCAGACATGGTTCAGAATAGAAGCCAGTAACGATCCTTCAGTAAATTTCTTCTGCTTTCATAATTATCTGAACTGTTTCGCCCATTATTATTATTATTATTATTATTATTATTATTATTATTATTATTATTATTATTATTATTATTATTATTATTATTATTATTATTATTATTTTACTCTCATACACTAATTTATGTTCGTTGTTGCCCTTCTTTTTATTACACGCACTTGACACTTTCTATCTCTTCACAGACTCATTGTTATTGTGTAGTGCATATGTATATGGTGCCCCCTTATACCAAGGTTTGTGTTCAGTAAAAAAATAAATGCCAAAAAAGGTACGATACTACTCATAAGTAGCTTAAATTTCGAATCAGTTTATCTTTAGCTATTGGGACTTTTGGTAATTAATTAACTTTCGTTTCCGTTGAAACTTTACAGTATGTTGGCTTTTCCCTATCATATGAGATGTATTCAATAACTAGTTAAAACGGACGAAATCCTCTCGTCAAAGTAAGTAGACGAAACAACAGCTTCAACTTCTTTTAAAATTAAGAGGGTCATCGTCACATGTATCAGCTTCCAGCTGATGAGGAAATTAGGAAAAACACTGGAAATGGATAGGGCATAAATTGAGGGAATCATCGAACTGTATCACGAAGCAAGCTCTAACTTGGACTCCTAAAGGGAGTTTGAAAAGAGGAAGAACAAGGAACGTATTTCGTCTAGAATTGGAAGCAGATATGTAAAGGATGAATAACTGGGAAGGATTGCTCAGGACAGAGTTGGATGGAGAATGGTGGTGGGTAGCCTATGCTCTTCCATGAGGGATAACAAGCGTAAGTGAGTAATTGTCACATGTGATCAGTTTCAATGGATAGTAATCAGATATTTAGTCAGCTATTCAATATTTTAAAAAGAAGCTTCATCTTTAGTGATTTTATTTCGGTTATAATCTTGTTGGGATGATCCTGAAAATTACTCGCAATAGACATGACAAACTCAGGAAACATTAAGAAGCATTCTATCCAATCAGCGTTTGATTAGAAGTTTTGCTAGAAACATCGCGAAAATGAAAAGTCACATGTAGAAGTTCTGATTGGCTGATTACTATACTACTACTATGTTTGGTAGTATTCTGGAATTTTCAGGAAAACCCAAGGACTCCTAAAATACTATAAAAACCTTATGTTTTCTGTACATAAGTGAACCTTTGGAGTAAAGTGCTTCCCGCATATTTTGTGCCTTCCCACTCATATTAAAGTCACTGTGTAGTTCTAGCTTGGGGGAAACAACTTACATAACTACACAATCACTGAGTATTTTCATATGAGTCAATTGAAGCTAGATTATTGGTTGATGTATCACAGTTCAACATTGTCGAATAAGAAAAACATTAATATGATGATAGTCAGGTATTGAAACGACATTCACGAATTAAATGAGCAGGATAATTATCAAGTCTTGGATATACCAACATACCTACTGGACAGTCAAAAGATTCTCAATAACCTGACTCACGCTTTCAACTATGAAAATACTAAATCTCCACAAAACCCCTTCTCATAACAATAATAATAATCATATGCTCACTAGTGACTGACTTCGAGAGGTAAATCCAGGAGTTCTAGTGAGAGCAGTGACCAGTGGAGTTCAAACCACGTCTGTTGTGAGATATCAACTCACTGAAGGCAATTAGTGAACGGTTGCTCAACTTTTTGTATTAGTTGAAGTTAGACATTAACAC